CTTCACTCTGTCTTGTCACGGCTGATCGAGCCCCCCAGGACCGAGTCCTTGCAGGCATCGAAGGTGCGGCTGCGGGACCTGGGAGCGTTAACTCCGGAGGAGAAGCTCACTCCCCTGGGATACCACCTGGCCTCGCTGCCTGTGGATGTCAGGATTGGCAAGCTCATGCTCTTTGGCACCATCTTCCGCTGCCTGGATCCTGCGCTGACCATAGCAGCCAGCCTGGCCTTTAAGTCACCTTTTGTAAGTATTCTTAACCTGAGGGCCATGTTTTTGTGCAGCAGCAAAATGCTGTTGGGACTTGCAGCATGCTACACTTAATATTTTAATTCTTCTTTTTAGCCTAATGTGTTTATGTGTTAGTGCAGTGCTTGTTAAAACAGCCCAGTTATAAGCAGAAGTTCAAAACCATGTGGTAGCAGCAAGAGTGGTATTTATATGCAGTAGAAACAGTGAATATTATTTTTGATATTCTTTTAGCTAAGAAGTGCACACATTTTGTCTGAATTTGGTGTGAAAACTACTGGTAATATAAATTGTGAAATAGTGATAATGGATGGAGCTGACACATCTGAGCTGTGATTGCAGAGGTCAGTTTGGATGTCTGTGTCTTCACTGTCACTTTGGCTATTGAATCAGGTGCTCTTTTGAATGCCTCGTATTTTCTGTTATCCACAGGGAAAATTTGCATTCTGACCTGTGAGCTGCTGTGAAAATGCCAAAGAGAATGTGCCATGTAGCTCTAGAATGGCTCATCCAAGTGGTGAGGGGAAGAACACGCTAACCTGTTACTGCCTGTCTAGGTGTCACCGTGGGACAAAAGGGAAGAAGCAAACAAAAAGAAGCTGGAGTTTGCAGTAGGAAACAGTGACTACCTGGCTCTTCTCCAGGCCTATAAGGTGAGTTAGAACTCAGTAGTCTCTCTTGGGGTTTTGTGATGTGTTTGATATCCAAGCAGAAATGTTTTATTAAAGCTTTCCTCCCATCCTCTCAATCAGGGATGGCGTTTAAGTATCAAAGAGGGCTCTCAAGCAAGCTACAACTACTGCAGGGAGAACTTCCTGTCAGGAAGAGTCCTTCAGGTAGGGCAGTGTTTGTGCCTGGTGGAATCCCAGTGACAGAAATGAGCCACTGGGGAAGACTCTTCCTTGCTGGGTGTGGCAGCCATCACAGCGCTCTGTGTGTTGCAGGAAATTGCCAGTCTGAAGAGGCAATTTGCAGAGCTGCTTTCTGACATTGGCTTTGTGAAGGAGGGATTGAGAGCCAGGGATATTGAGAAGAGGTGGTCCCAAGGAGGCGATGGCGTGTTGGATGCCACAGGAGAGGAGGTAACGCAGCATTTCATCCATGCAGTTTTCATGTGGGCTGCCTTCAGAAGGACTGGGGCCAGACATGTCCTGGGGGGGTTACATGATACTCAGGGTGATCAGGGTTTGGTATTGTAGGATTCCTGTGCTTTGGGACAGATTGTGCTTGCTTTCTGGAGGGTGCAAGCCACTTTGTAGCCAGATGTCAGAGAACAATCCAGCTGGGCACCAGGACAGTGGTGGCCAATTTGTTCCATTGATAGTGGATGAAACACAGCTCAGGTCCAACTTGAGGCTGCAGGAGCAGTGACTTGTCCTCCTCTACAAAGCACAGGAGTGCAGCAGTAAAAGTGAGCTAATTTCAGGAATTCAGTCATTCCTGGAGCAGGGTTTTACCTTTACAGACTGAACTGTAGGATCCCTAATGATCCCCTATTGATTTCACAGGCAAATTCAAATGCAGATAACATCAAGCTGATCTCAGCTATGCTGTGTGCTGCACTGTATCCCAATGTTGTCCAGGTAAAAGAATGCTTTTTCATTTTCCCTTCTTTGGTCTAGCATATCCACACTCCCTGCTTTCATTTGGGCTCAGTGTGGCAGCCTTGAGCCTGGCTTAGGTTGCCAAAATTTGCTGCTTTATGGTGTCAGAGCTCCAGTTTGTATTGCCTGACTGCTGCTGTTCCTTCAGGCTGATTTCAGTGTCACACAGAAGGCAGCAGGAAATGTGAATTTACTTAAAATTACACCTTTTTAGAAGGCTGAGGTTACAAAGGAAGTCAGGGTTGGACAGCATGTGTCTCCAGTGACTTGACATGTTGCTACTACAGAATTTCTGATTTTGAAAATTTTAAAACTTGAAGTTAAAAGGTTTTCTGGTGCAGCAGATTTTTATAACCTTTTTTCTTACCATACAGGTGAAAAAGCCAGAGGGTAAATACCAGAAGACCAGTACAGGAGCGGTCAAAATGCAACCAAAAGCAGAAGAGCTGAAGTTTGTTACTAAAAATGATGGTTATGTTCATATTCATCCTTCGTCTGTGAATTATCAGGTCAGGATGCTTTTTTCTGCAAAGCATGCTCTTTTTTTATAAAAGAAATCACTTTTGCTTGAGTGTTTAAAATTACAGTGAGGATCCCTATTATTGTTTAAAATAAAAAATCTTAATGATTGAAGAGTCCTGCGTTAGGACTGTAAGTAACAGTGCATTCCTGAGTTAGGAGTGTCCTGCCGGGCACAGAGTTAAACTGCAGCCAGCAGTTGTTGGCAGCTCTTTTGGGTCTCCTGGAGGGTGTGTCAGTGCTGCAGAAGAGGCAGAGCTGGCCCGTGTGGCAGAGGCAGAAGAGCAGCGTCACTCTGACCGGGCTGCTGTGTCCCTGTCCCAGACCAGGCACTTTGAGAGCCCGTACCTGGTGTACCACGAGAAGATCAAGACGAGCCGCGTGTTCATCCGGGACTGCAGCATGGTGTCCGTGTACCCGCTGGTGCTGCTGGGCGGCGGCCAGGTGCACATGCAGCTGCTCAAGGGCGACTTTGTCATCTCCCTGGACGACGGCTGGATCCGCTTTGTGGCTGCCTCTCACCAGGTGAGGAGGAGGAGGAGGAGGAGGGCCCGTGCCGGGAGAGCCGCAGGGCTGGGCTGCAGCTGAGCCTTAGCCCTGCTCTGTGCTTTACCCTGTGCCAGGTGGCTGAGCTGGTGAAGGAGCTGCGCTGCGAGCTGGACCAGCTGCTGCAGGATAAAATCAAGAATCCCAGCATGGATTTGTGCATGTGCCCCCGGGGCTCTCGGATCATCGGCATGATTGTCAAGCTTGTGACCACGCAGTGACATCAGAACAGTTTGCTGTAAGGATCACCCATGGCTGCTGCCTGAGAACAGACCAAGTAATATCAGTGTCCTGATGCATTTATTGGTCCAAAACGTGGCACTGACCTCTGCAAAACAAGTTGGCAACTGTACTGTTGAGTTTTGGGTTTTTGTTTGCTTGTTGAAATTAAGGTGGCTTATGCTATATTCTGGGAGAATGGCAGCTCTTCCAGAAGGAATAGAAACCTGTTTTTTATGGGACTGTGCCCTGGTAGTGTTGTTTTCTGGTCACACAAACACCTGCTAACCAGCTGTTTCTTGTAATAGTCACAGCGGGAGGCAGCGTGTGGCATAGGGGGCTGCTCCCAAATTGGTTTAAACTCAGTCTACATTTTAACTAAGACTTGACTGAGGCAGTTTTGGCTGACCAGGAATCCTGTTTACAGTTCAACCCAAAGCCCTTGTACAAGTCAGCACCTTTAGATTTGCATTGAGGCTCTGCAATTCAGACAATGTCCTGTGGTAAGGAGATATACTGGATCAGTCAGTGTGGTTTTGGATCAGTGCAGGTTGCTCTGGTGACAAGATTAAACTCCAAGACAGTGTGGACATTTTCCCTGAAAAGAGGCTGTTCCAACCCTTCCTGCACTGGGAATATGTAAAACAGCTGAGATGGGACTGCTGTAGTGCATTAATATGAATTCTTGGCAGATGCCATTGTTAATTGCTAACATGTTCTGGCATGGGGTATCCTCCTGCCACCCCACACAGCTGGAATGAAGTCCCACTTTTGGAAGCTTTCAGCCAGACTCCTGCTCTGAGGATTGGGCTGCTGTAGCAATAATGAATTATTATTTCCTCCCTTTGGCCTTGCTTTTAATTGCAGTGCTGAGCATTGCTGCAGCCAAGCTGCTCAAATGCCTTAAGTGACAGGACTGGGCTGTCACCTTTGTGTCACCAGAGTGAACACTGCCTCCAGCACCAGTCTGATCTACAACCTTCAGCCTGAGGCATGATGAGTGGAGGAAGGGACAGTGTGGAGGAAGGGACATTGTTAGGAGTTAAAAAAAAAAAACCCACATGAACTGTTTGTAGGAGTTTCACACCAACACAGGCTCCTGTGAGGAAGATGACAGGAGTATCAAGCCCATCATGGCCACTGCAGCTCTGCTGGGATGGATGAGACCCAGCTGCCTCCACTCCCTTTTCTTTCCCACCTCCATGAGCTGGCACTGGGAGGAGGGAGAAGCATGGAATATGAGAAATTCACACACTGAGACAGTTTAATAAAACAAAAGCAAAAGAATTTATTTCCCACTTCCCTTGGGCAGGCAGGTGTTCAGCCACTCCAGGAAAACAGCATGCTGTCCCCTTCCTACCTTTCCTAAAATTACCCAATACTCCAAAATTTCCCTGCTATTCTGGTAACAGCCATTATCAACTGCAAAGATGAAGCAGAGGTCCTGAACTATTTTATTAATTCAGTACCCTATGCCTGGTGAGATGAGGTCAGTCTGGTTTCCCACAGCAACCACAGATCAGCACAGCAGCAATGCCCTTCCCTGGTTACACTTCACTGCCAGGATGGAACCAGGCAGACACGAGGAACTGGAGCTCTCCATTCCCCACAGATCCTGCTGCTTGAACACAACCTGCAGCTTGTGCTTAGGACCTGTGATCTCCACAAAACCCCTCAAACTTCCTAAAAACGGTATACAAACATAGACAAATAGTATACAAACAACAGACTGGTGCCTTTTCCCCAGCTGGTGCTGCCCAGGGATGCAGAAGGCACACACATGCCTGTCCCAACCTGGCTGCTGTTTTTCACACACTGCCTGCTTCCCCATCCCAACTGTCAACAGCAGGCTTTTCACAACTGATCTCTTAGTTAGAAATGCAGTTTATTTCAATGCACCAATAATAAAATAAAAAAGCCCAACATTTTCAGATCACAGAACACAAACACAACAGAAGAGTTTTGTATTAGTCTGCTAACAAGACTTTTAGAAGATAGAGGTTCATGCCAATTGCTAGTCAATAGAAACAGCCTTCTAGGACTAAGCCCTTACATCACAAAATCCCTTATAATGTAAACAAAATAACTTTTTTACTAAACTTCTTAAATTTGAACCCATTCTTTTAGGGCTTCCATTCCTTCAAGGGCTTCCTGATGGTGAGTGACTGAAAGGAAAAAAAGACAACAAACCATTAAGTACTCCTACAGCAAAACCAACAGAAAATGTGCATGCCACCCCAGGCTTCCTCTGGACTTCTGCCCCTATTTTCATTTACAGTTCTCAAATAATAAAAGAAGTGTTGTATTTTACACTTTAACTTTAAAACTGCTTTAAGCTTGAAAGCTGAAGACTAATTAAGAGAGTTAAGACATTAAGCCTGCTCAGAAATCTCAATTCCAGCACATACTTCTCCTCTCTGGTAGGAAAACATTTTCCTTTGTGGAGCACATTAATGGGCAAGGATAAAAGCCCAAAGCCAAAAGTGCAACTCCTGGGCCTGCAGGAGTCACCAGCAGGAATTTAATCCAACACCACTTCATTGGCTTGCTCCACACCTTACATTACTCACTTGTTCCCTAGATTCTAAATTCCTCAGAAACATTTCATTAGAGGTTTCCTTAGCAGCAGCATTCTTATTGCTTAGCTGTGTCATGACATTCTGACTGCCAGCAGCAGGAAATGCCCATGAGCAATTCATCTTCTCATAGTTCAGATTTAGGCAAGTAAAAATCCTGAGCTTTTATACTTTTCCAATTTCTCTAGGAACTGCTCCAGCTCAAGTGCTACTGAACCCCAGGACAGACTCCAGTTTTAAGACATTCCTACCTTCTCTTTGGAGATGGTGATCTGGACTTTGAGCGGCTGTTTAAAAACAAACAGACAGACAGACAGACCAGTCAGTGTGGTTGGCACACCTGGGTGCTCTCAGTACTCACTTCTGACCATTTAAAACCAGAACAATTTGGTGGTGTTAAATGCACTGACACTGCTGGTATCAAGTGTACCCAGGTACTTTAAGCAAGAAGCTGCAGGTGAGAAGGAAAAATGCTGGAAGCTGGAGCCCTTGGGAAAAGAGCAACACACAGCTCCAAAGCTGCTGTAATCACAGTGACCCTGCAAAGCAGGAGCAGTGAATCGAGCAGAGTTAGGGACAGGGAGAACTACAGACACTTAATTAAGAACAAAGGTAGAAGAAAACATGCCCCAAATCCTGTCAAAGGTATTTTTTTTCTAATAATGAGTGTGTAACATCTCTATGCAAAATCCTGGAAGAATGGCCTATTGTCCCACAAAAAATCATCTGTTCAAAAAAAAACCATAATGTATGAAAAATGTTTTTGAAATCAGTTATAAAATTAAAAACCCAACCCTGCAACTGAAATACCAGTCCAAACAGATTTTGAATGATGAGGGAAAAAACCAAAGAACCCCACAAAAAACCCCACCAACCAAAACAAAAACCAACTGAGTGAGTGGTACTTGTATTTGAACGCTCACCTTTTAGCAGGTAAGCCAGATTTAGATCTACCATGAGACTCAGACCTACAACAGGAGAAAAATAAAGCTCAGCAAAGCAGCCAGTGGGCATGCAACACACGGTGTTAGCGACACCAGCAACAGCAAATTGACCCCAGGCAGCAGCAGCGGGCAGAGGGAAGGCTCTGCTGCTGCAGGCCCTCCCCAGCCCCTTCCAGGGGAATCCTCAGCCCCCACTGCAGAGACCCCGCTCATCACAAGGCACAGTGCAAGCACAGGAAGCTCCCCAGCAAAGCTCCAGCTGCAGCTCCACAAACACCAGAGCAGACTCCCACACCTCCCTCCTACCTGCAGGTATCCCTTCTAGAAAGGCAAGAATAGTTTCAAGGATCATCTTAGAAAGTATTTTAACAGCACATTTAGAGCCTCGAATCAGCCACAAGTAAGTGTGTGTGCTGATGGGCTGGTGCATTCTACAGCTCAATTTCCCAATGCCAATTTACTCAGCATAACAGAGATTTTGCACCAATATGAGGCTACTAATGAGTAAACTATTCCCAGTTTATCTCAGGAATTAAAATCTACTTGAACAGTTAAACTTTCCTCCCACATTTATTATGTTACTTTATCAACTCAAATATTAGTTGTTACTTAAAAAACATCTTCCTACTAGAGTGTCAGAATTCAAGCTATCACTGGACATCAGAATGCTCCATTCAACACGCTTGGCAAAAAAAGCAGAATGCTTTTGCTCTATTTCTGCTCAGAACTGTTTTGGAAGGGTAATCAATATTCACCTTTACCTGGCCTTCTAACTCATAGAAATACTACAAGGACACTGCTGGCACATGTTAAACAAAACGTTACGTGCCACTGCTTTGAAACCTTCCTGGTGTCTATCCTGAGCCGCTGTCTGGCCCATTTCCCCTTTGTAACAATCAACTTCCCACTGGCTCACAGTTACTGAGGACGGGAATGCTCACAAGCACCCAGAACTGGTACTCAGCAGCATGAGCATCTCCTCCACTGCTAAGGCAGCACAGCACACAAAACCATCCTCAATTTACTACATACCTAAAAATTTACTTTTTAAAAAAAATTCTCTCCACAGACCTTAAATTGTACACCACTACTTTTGTCTGTGAAAAGGCATAAATTATTATTGAGTGTAAATATTGCTCTGCTGGACAGCCTGCTAAGTGCTTCCAGACAAATTCCCCCAGGGAAGGAAAAAAAAAAAACCAAAACAACAAGAAATAAGAAACAACACACCACCACAACCAAACAACACACCAAATCCATCAGTGGTTTGAACCAAAACGAGTGTCTCACCTGCTTCGAGGCCATACAACAGACCGGGACCTGGAGCGTGACCTGGACCTAGATCTGGAAAGAAATCAAAGGAAGCTCTAGTACCACATGCTTCATACAGGTGAGACAGAAACCAGTTACTGTAAATGTCCCAGAAGACTGAGAACTTTGTTCATCTGTTGGTTTTACAGAAGTAGTTTTTATTAATAGAAGGCTGTAGCACCTTTGGTCAGTACTGCCACGCAGGTAAAATGAGTTCCTCGGTCTTACTGGACTAAGCAATTACACCCTGTACACTTATAGGTGAATGTGGATACCTTAACCACAGAGCGAGGCTGTAACTTTGGTAAAACGTTAAAAAGAAAAAAGTAACATCTCAGAAACAGCAGCTCCAAATTTATATGCTTAAATTTTAAACAAAGTATTCAGAATAGATCTTCTGCATGTAACACCACAAAAGTTCCTATCAACTGCAAAACACACTCACTGATTATGATTACATTATAAATGCTATAAATATATATCTAGATACTTGATATTTTAGCTCCACGTTATGTGCCCTTCAACACTGCTGTGGGTTTAACAGCAACCACATACCTTGACCTTCTTAGAGAACCAGAGCGGGACCTGCGGGGGGAGAAGGATCTGTATCTGCGAGGAGACATCGACCGGGACCGGCGGTAGGAAGCTGACCTGGACCTGCAAAACAAAGCAAACACCAACCCATCACTGCAAGGCACTTTTCACAACAAATACAGAAAAGCAAAGAGGGGCCCACAGAGGAAAGAGTGGGAATGAAAACAGAAGGCAGAGCCCTACCTCCTACCACGGCTGCGGCTGCGTGACCGGGAATACCTTCTCCCTCGGGACCTCGAGCGGGATCTAGAGCGGGACCTGGGTTTAGGTTAGAAAAAACAGGTATCAGCAGACAGCTGCAGCAACCCACACCTGTGAGGCCCTGCTGAAGTCAAAACTTTTTTCAGACAACTAAA